TCACATGCCTATAATCCCAGCACTCAGGGAGATAGACTCCACAAAGTTGATGTCTGACCTCTCTGTAATTTAGCATGCACATCCCATACTTACATCATACACGATAATGTCAAATTTAAAGATGTATTATTATTAGTTATTAGATATGTGTGTATGTTGGGTGTGTATAACAGTGCCCCAGACCTTAACACAACTGACTCCATGATGGAACTGCCATTTAGGATGTAAAACTCAGCACTTAGACAGCACTGCCAAAATGGTCTAATTCATGAAAATCTGTAGACATGGGAAATTCTCTAAATGTACTAACCTTGCTTTTTTTCCCCTATAGCTAACTGTTCTTGTTAAGTAAAATATGTCACCTTGGGAGAGGCTCAGAACTACACTAAGATCCTGAACAAGCAGGGTAGTTGCTGACTAACAAAGACTTTCTATTGGCTTAAACCCATGTCCAAGCAGTCTTCTCTGGTGGATACAACAAGTATAGATCCCAAGGAGGTCACAAGCATCTGATCTCTGAGAACTGGAATTAACAGGTAGTTGTAAACGTCATGACCTGAATTTTGAGAACTAAACTCAGGTCTTTGGCAAGAGTAGTACATGCTCCTAACGACTGAAACTTCCATCCCTAAAATTTAAAAAAAAAAAATTGTTTTTGAGACAGGGTTTTTTCTGTGTACTCCTGGATGTTCTAGAACTTTCTCTGTAGACCAGGGTGGCCTCAAACTCAGAGATCCTCCTGCCTCTGCCTCTGAGATTAAAGTTGTGGGCGACCATTTTTGACTAGGACACAAAAATGTTTTTTATAAGTATCTTTTGAAGAACAAAAGACTCCCCCCACAGAATGGGTGAAAATATTGTAAACTATGTATCTGAAAAGGGGCTTAGGTCTAGAATATGCACAAAACAGCAACTCAGCAATAAAAACATGAGCCAGTCCTCCCAGCCTGTGAGGACAGAGCAGGAAGTCATTGTTCCAAGAACAAGAAGAGAGAGGGTCCTTTCCTGACACTAGGCCTGCCAGGGCCTCCATCTGTAACTTCCCATCTTCCAGACTGGGAAATATATATTTCAATTTTTATTTGTTCTTGGATTCGCTTGTTGTTGAGACAAGGTCTCACTTGTGTATCCCTGACTGGCCTGAAACTCACTATGTACATCATGTTGGCCTTGGACTCAGAGATCTGCCTTTGAATGCTAGAACTAAAGGCATGCACCACCATTTCTGTTTTTATAAATGACCCCGTTTATGGTACTTTATCATAAAAAGCCTACAGACTAAAATAGAAAGGTTATCTAGCTACGGTTGTCTCCACCATGGACCTCTTTTGACTGAGCACCATCCATTGTGTTTCTGAGTCTTTATGAATGAGCATCTTCCAGATCCTGGACTCTTGTCCCCTCACTTTCTTCTGCTCTGCTACCTGTCTCAGTAAGAGCAGGTCCATACAGATTGCTGGTCTCTTCTGTTGACTTTCATTCAGCCAAGATGCCTGAGGAAACCTAGACCCAAGACCAACCAATGGAGGAGGAGGAGGTTGAGACCTTTGCCTTTCAGGCAGAAATTGCCCAGTTAATGTCCTTGATCATCAATACTTTTTACTCGAACAAAGAGATCTTTCTGAGGGAGCTCATTTCCAATTCATCAGATGCTCTGGATAAAATCAGAATATGAGAGCTTGACGGACCCTAGCAAACTCGACTCGGGGAAGGAGCTGCACATTAATCTCATTCCCAACAAACAGGATCAAACCCTCATTATTGTGGATACTGGAATTGGAATGACCAAGGCTGACTTGATCAATAACCTTGGCACTATTGCCAAGTCAGGCACCAAAGCCTTCATGGAGGCTTTGCAAGCTGGTGCAGATATCTCTATGATTGGCCAGTTTGGTGTTGATTTTTACTCTGCGTATTTGGTTGCTGAGAAAGTGACTGTCATCACGAAGCACAATGATGATGACCAGTATGCCTGGGAGTCCTCAGCTGGGGAATCCTTCACAGTGAGGATTGACACAGGTGAACCAATGGGTCGTGGAACAAAGGTTATCTTGCATCTGAAAGAAGACCAAACTGAGTATTTGAAGGAAAGGAGAATAAAGGAGATTGTGAAGAAGCATTCTCAGTTTATTGGCTATCCCATTACTCTGTTTGTGGAGAAGGAACGTGATAAGGAAGTCAGTGATGATGAGGCTGAAGAAAAGGAAGAGAAGGAGGAAGAGAAAGAAAAAGAAGAAAATGAGTCTGATGACAAGCCTGAAATAGAAGATGTTGGTTCTGATGAAGAAGAGGAAGAGAAGAAGGATGGTGACAAGAAGAAAAAGAAGAAGATAAAGGAAAAGTACATTGCTCAAGAAGAACTCAACAAAACAAAGCCGATTTGGACCAGGAATTCTGATGACATTACTAATGAAGAATACGGAGAGTTCTACAAGAGCTTAACCAACGAGGGAAGAACATTTGGCTGTAAAGCATTTTTCTGTTGAAGGACAATTAGAATTCTGGGCCCTTCTTTTTGTCCCAAGACGCGCTCCTTTTGATCTGTTTGAAAACAGAAAGAAAAAGAACAACATCAAGTTGTATGTTCGCAGAGTTTTTATCATGGATAACTGTGAAGAGTTAATCCCCGAATATCTGAATTTCATTAGAGGGGTGGTGGATTCTAAATATCTAAATATCTCCCTGTAAATATTTCCCATGAAATGCTGCAACAAAGCAAAATTCTGAAAGTTATCAGAAAGAACTTGGTTAAGAAAGGCTTAGAACTATTTACTGAACTGGCAGAAGATATAGAGAATTACAAAAAGTTTTATGAGCAGTTCTCAGAAAACATAAAGCTTGGAATTCATGAAGACTCTCAAAATTGGAAGAAGCTTTCAGAGCTGTTGCGGTACTACACATCTGCTTCTGGGGATGAGATGGTGTCTCTGAAGGACTACTGCACAAGAATGAAGGAAAACCAGAAGCACATCTATTTTATCACAGGTGAGACCAAGGACCAGGTTGCTAACTCAGCCTTTGTGGAACGTCTCCGAAAGCATGGCTTAGAAGTAATCTATATGATTGAGCCCATTGATGAGTATTGTGTGCAACAGCTGAAGGAATTTGAGGGAAAGACCTTGGTGTCTGTTACCAAGGAGGGACTGGAACTTCCAGAAGATGAAGAGGAAAAGAAGAAACAGGAAGAGAAAAAGACAAAATTTGAGAACCTCTGCAAAATTATGAAAGATATTTTGGAGAAAAAGGTTGAAAAGGTTGTTGTGTCAAGCCGACTGGTGACATCCCCAGGCTGTATTGTCACAAGCACGTATGGGTGGACAGCAAACATGGAGGGAATCATGAAAGCTCAAGCCCTCAGAGACAACTCAACAGTGGGTTACATGGCAGCAAAGAAACACCTGGAGATAAACCCTGATCACTCCATTATTGAAACCTTAAGGCAAAAGCCAGAGGCTGACAAGAATGCCAAGCCTGTGAAAGATCTGGTCATCTTGCTGTATGAGACTGCACTCCCGTCTTCTGGCTTCAGTCTGGAAGATACTCAGACCCATGCTGACAGGATCTACAGGATGATCAAGCTTGGTCTAGGTATTGGTGAGGATGATCCTACCGTGGATGAGACCAGTGCTGCTGTAACTGAAGAAATGCCACCCCTGGAAGGAGATGACGACACATCACGCATGGCAGAAGTAGACTAAGCTTCACCAGAACTATGTGTTTGATGCTTACCTTCATTCCTTCTGATAATATATTTTCCATGATTTCTGTTTATTTTTGTTAACATTTAAAACACCTGTGTGGCATGAAAACTAAAGGGAAGATAAAATGTCTACATGTGATACTGTGATACTGTAGGTTTGACTCACGAGGTTGGTAGAACGTTTGTCGTAAGACGTAACCTGCTGTTAATGTTAACTCTGTGGTCTGAAGTGTTAAGCTGTTGAGCTGGATTCCTTAGTAGATCAAATTAAGACGGCTTAAGTTACATCTTAAAACTTTCACTCCCTGTAGTTAATTCTGCATGTGCTAGTCTTAGAAGTAAACACAAGTTAAAACAACTTGACAGGAACTCCCCAAGTGGCTTGTTTTCCAAAGTACCAAGAACAAAACCTTAAGTTTCCCTAGGTCTTGTAACTCTCAGCAAGGCTTGTGAATGGAAATAATAGTGCCCAATCACATTCTGCTTTAAAAGGTAAATACAGATGAGATAAAAAGAAAAAAAAATTTCTCTCATGCTTTGAGATTCGTGTCTTTATTGTTTTGAGACAGAGTTTCTCTGTGTAGGTGTCCTGGAACTCACTCTGTAGACCAGGCTGGCCTCGAACTTAACGATATGGTTGCTTTTGCCTTCGGAGTTTTAGGATTAAAGGCATATGGCAACGTCGCCTGGCTTTGTGGCTTTTTGTTTTGTTTTGTTTTGTTTTGTTTTTTTTTCGAGATAGGGTTTCTTTGTGTAACCCTGGCTGTCCTCGAACTCAGAAATCCACCTGCCTCTGCCTCCCAAGTGCTGGGATTAAAGGCGTGCGTCACCACTGCCCGGCCTGGCTTTGTGTCTTTATTTAATTTTATTTTTGAGGCAGGGTCTCACTCTGTAACTCTGGCTAGCCTAGAACAGGGTAGGTAAATTAAGGAGGCTCAATGAGATCCTCCAGCCTCTACCTCCAGAGTACTAGGATTACAGGAGCGCTCCCTGACGCGGGGGCCCCCCCCCCCCCCCAAATTTGTGTTACTGAGCAAGCTGTTACATGCATATCACACAGAAAGAAGGCAGGAGTGCACCATCTTTTGCATATACTGCCTCCTTGATACGTCAACTGGTAGACAAAAAGACAGTTAAAAAGAAATAAATAGTAAGGGGTTCTCGGAGAGTTACCCCTGAGAAGAACAGGTTTCTCCAACCCAGTTTCCAGGTCCAGGACTCGGGAAGCTGCGGAACTCAGATGTGCGAGGACAGGAAGGAGGTCGAGCCGGCGCACAAAGGACCGCCCTGCCGCGGGGGAACGTTTTGACCGGGACACAGGGCCGCGAGGAGGCAGCCGCGATGCTCCCGTCTTTGCAGGAATCTCTGGATGGAGATGAAAAGGAGCTGGAGAGCAGCGAGGAGGGTGGCTCCGTGGAGGAGCGGAGACTCGAGCCGCCACCCAGCAGCCACTACTGCTTGTACAGCTTCCGCGGAAGCAGGTGCCTGCGCCCTGCCCGCTGCGCCCGCGGCCCCACCGCCCAGCCTTGCACCCCGCGGTCCCCACTCGCCATCTCCTCTCCCAGCCAAGGTCTCTGGCCCGATGGGCCCTCCTGGCCTCAGTCGTTCTTCCCGGCTCTTCTGGGTTTTTATGCCCAGCACTCCCAAGCCTCTGCCCTCTAGCAGCCTCTGTCACCGCAGCTCCTGACATCTGTTCATCAGAGTTCTTCAAAGCCTCGTTCCTTCAGAGTCTTTCCCTAGTTCTCTGCTCCTGTCTCCAATTGCCTTCATTTCTACCACACACTTTAACCCCCGCCCTCTAGTTTGCTCTGTTTTTGCTACCTCTCTCTCCCCTTGGTACCTCCTGCATACCCTGGCTGACTTTCCAGGAGCCCTTCTGGCCCCAGAATTTATTCTTTAAGATGTATTCTTAAGTTTTAAATATATGTTTGTGTGTGGGTATTTGCCCATGCATACAGATGCCCACTGAGGCCAGAGGTGTCAGATACATCTGGAACTTAGGTTACAGGTGGTTGTGAGGTGCCCTAAGTGGGTGCTCGGAACCAAGCTAGGATCCTCCCCCAAGAACAGTAAGCACTGTTAACCTCTGAGATATCTCTCCAGGCCCTGTTTATTTTAATTTTAATTAATCTATATTTTCTGAATAAAAAAATTGTTTGCATTGGTGTTTTGCCTGAATGCATGTCTCTGTGAGGCTGTCTGGTCCCCTGGAACAGAAGATACAGATAGCTGTGAGCTGCCATGTTGGTGTTGGGAATTGAACTAGAGTTTTCTGGAAGAGCAGCCATGCTCTTAAGTATTGAGCCATCTTTACATCCCTTAACTTAATTTTTAAAGAGGAATTTCTTCAAACTTTTGGGATATTAGGTCTTTTCTTTGCTTATTAAATACCCTGAAGAGAAAGGGGCCTCTTGTCAGCCCTCATTTATGGGGTTTCTGTCATGAGAATAGGCAATGGGGACCATGCAGTGTGGTCTTGCAGCATTTTAGCTGAGTCCTTGCTTTTACCCAGCTTGCAAAGCCTTGATTGACAGCCTAGAACTGATAGTACTGTTGTATTGCATCTTGCAGATTGACACAGAATCGAGGAGATTGCGATGATGGACATTCAGGTGGCACCAATGCAGAGACTCCCTCTGGCGATGACTTCAGGTAAGAACAGGCATAGCACTGTGCTTTCCCTGTCTGTAGGTGTCAGTGGGGTCTTGTTGCCTCTGCACTTTCTCTGAGTTGGACCTTCAGCTCCTGCTATCCCCTAGGAACTTCTCCTGATCTCTTCCTTGACTCTTTTATTATTCAAGGCAAGAACAGATGCAAATACTGATAATGCATCTGTTATTGAACCCAGAGCTGTGTAAACCCTAGCCAAGTCCCGACACTGAGCTTTACCTAACCGAGATAATCATCTTTGTGTGGTTGTTGTTTTTGAGATAGGGTTTTCTCACTATGTGGCTCTAGCTGTCCTGGAACTCACTAAGTAGACCAAGTCTTGAATTTACAGGGATCTGCCTGTCTCTCCCTCCCAATTGTTGAGTCCAAAGGCATGTGCTACTACCTACAGCAAGATAACTATCTTTAAGGAGGAAAGGTTAATTTGGCTCAGTTTCAGAAGTTTCAGTCCATGTGGTTTCTTAGCCTTGTTGCCTGTGAGCCTGAGGCAACAGGAATTCATGTCAGGAACAAACGGCAGAAGAGCCTGTTAACTTAACGGCTAGGGAGAGATGCAAAGAGGGAGAGAGGCAGGCAGCTCCCAGCCAGCTGGCCAACCAGTCAGGGTTCTGATATGTTATTAGGGTCATATTTCCAGAGCCTTGGCTTCCGTCCACCTCCTACAGGTTCTAATGCTTCCAATAGCACTATGGTCTGGGAGCCAAACCTGCCTTTGGGGGACATTCCAAATCTAAACAAGAACCCTCTCCAACAGGGGCATCAAGTAGACAGCTTTCTTTTCTCTTTTTTCTTTTCTCTCTCTCTCTCTCTCTCTCTCTTTCTTTTTTGCCAGGGTTTCTCTGCTCTGTGTAAGTCTGGCTGTTCTAGAACTTGCTTTGTAGACCAGGCTGGCCTGGAATTCACTGAGATAAGCCTGCCCCAAGTGGTGGGGATTAAAGGAGTGCACCTCTACTGACTAGTTGATAGTATTCTTTCTTTCTTTCTTTCTTTCTTTCTTTCTTTCTTTCTTTTTCTTTTTTTTTTTGGTTTTTTGGTTTTTTTTGGTTTTTTGAGACAGGGTTTCTCTGTATAGCCCTGGCTGTCCTGGAACTCACTCTGTAGACCAGGCTGGCCTCGAAGTCTCGAACTCAGAAATCCACCTGCCTCTGCCTCCCAAGTGCTGGGATTAAAGGCGTGTGCCACCACCGCCCGGCTGATAGTATTCTTAAGAGAGATCCTGAAATTGGTATGGTAATGCATAACGTGGGGCAAGTTTGAGGTTAACCTAGGCTATGTAGCTAGTTTAATACCAGCCTGGGCTACATAGGGACCCTGTCTATGTCTCATTATATGTGACTTACAGGTTTGAGTATACTACTGGTAAGGAATGTGTGTCTTTCATTTGTCAAGCCTCTCCTTGGTAGATACTAATCTACCATCTGAAGTGGAGCCAGAGCTGCGCAGTTTCATTGCTAAGCGTCTTTCCAAGGGAGCATGCTTTGAAGGGCTGGGTAATGTTGCATCTGTAGAGCTGAGGTAAGTATAAAATATGCTGTCTCCTGTGTTTTTATTTCTGAGCTAAACATGAGAAGTGTGGAGAAACTCGAAGAGGTTTAGACCTGCAGGAAACATCTTTGTTTTCTCTTCTCTGGCACCTCCTGCTCTTCCATTCCCATCCAGAGCACTGGATCTCACACATAAATGTTATAAAATTAGACTGAGATTCTGGCACCTGCGTGTACTTTAGTCTGCTTTGTACTCAAACAGAGGTAGCCTTGATGGAGAGCATTTCCTGGTGTGTGCAAAGCCCTCTGTTCTTTCCTAATCAGCGAAGAGGAAATTGTATGCCCATGGTTTATAACATGCTTTCACAAATGCTGATGTAGTTCTTCTTACAAAGGGAGATGGGCAGTTAGCTGATTTTCCAGTTCAGAAGTAAACACAGAGAAATGAAGTTGGGAGCTGAAGGTCACAGGGCAGTCAGGCTTACACAGGCTTACACAGGCTTACACAGGCACCTCAGCCTGATCCCAGCAGTCTTGCCATTGTGCTCCTTCAGACGAGGCCTTTGTTTAAATGCAGGTTCCCTCAGGGGTAGATCTCTCTGGCTCAAGGATAAAGCTGCTGGATAAGCCTGGCATAGCAGCATGGCATATCCATATCACATGAAGGTTTAAAAGAGGGAGAACATGCTTATTTTTTATGTAAACATGGACGTTCTATGAACGCAGTTGAAATTTGTGTAGATTTTTCTTTAAACAATTAAAAAAAATTTTATGTATATGAGTGTTTTGCCTACATGAATGTCTGTGCACAAGGTGTGTGCCTCTTGCCTGCAGAGTCCAGAAGAGGGTGTTGGATCCTCAGGAACTGGGGATACAGATGGTTGTGAGCCACCCGAACCTGGGTGTTTTATAAGAGTAGCCAGTGCTCTTTTAACTGCCAAGCCATCTATTTCCACAGCTCCTGGATTTTTCACATAAGACAGTGGAATGCAGTGAACCTCTATTAGAGGCTGCTTGGTTTGTTTTTATGAGACCAGGTCTCACCATGAAACCCTTGCTGGTCTGGAACTCACCATGTAGAGCAGATTGTTCTTGAACTCACTGACATCTACATGCATCTGCCTCCTAAGGCTGGGATTGGTGTGCATCACCACGTCTGATCTATACAATGCTCAATTAAACCTCACCTGGGTCATGCTCCTTCTGCTGAGATGAGTAAGAGGAGAAGGTTGGAGAACTCTGCATGAGGGGCGATCCGAAAGTGTTACCAGATCTAGACCAGGCCCAGAGCCATCTACAAAGTGCGGAGCGTGAGTTCCCAGGCACTCCACTTTACTTCTTCCTTTCTTTTCTAGAATTCCAGGTTACCGAGTTGGTTGTTATTACTGCCTTTTCCAACAGGAAAAACTGCTTCCTGAAATAGCAGCAATGGAATATGAACATAACCCTTCTGAGTATGTGGTCTGCTTCTTAGGAGGCTCTGAAAAAGGACTGCAACTATATCCTTTCTGTGGTATTCAAGGGTACCAGGAGAGAGAGCACTGGGGCAAGTAGCAAGTGGGTACTCTTAAGGACGTGTCAGAATGTCATTTGTGACCATTTGCCTAGGCTGTGTGTGTGTGTGTGTGTGTGTGTGTGTGTGTGTGTGTGTGTGAAAGAGAGAGGGAGAGGGAGAGGGAGAGGGAGAGGGAGAGGGAGAGGGAGACTGACTCTCACTTTGTAGGCCTAGCTAGCATGGAACTCATTACATAGACTAGGCTGGCCTCGAACTTACATCGATCCACCACTTCTGATGCTGAGTGCTGGAATTAAGGGCATATGCCACTATACTCAGCTGAGACTTTGTATTTCTGGCTGAGAGGTACTAATGGATGATTCTGTATCTCTTCCTTAAGAACATACTTTCAGGCTTGAATTGGACAAGTATATTCAAGGGCTGAAGAATACCATGAATTGTGAGGTAAGGAGACTGACTTGAGCTTTGTAAGACTGGAGTGATGAGCGTGAAGATGCCATTAGAGTACTAGTCTGGTCACTTGGGAGCCACTGACACTTGACTTCTAAATTCCTCACCTTGTGGGCAGTAGATCAGTGATATGTGACACAGGCAGGGAATATAGCTGTGTTATAGGCTCTGAAGGTTTCATGATTCTACTTTTGATGTGTTATACCAATGAAAACATATTAAATCCAATTGTGGAAACTCACACCTGATCTCCCGGTGTTTGGGAGGCAGAGTTTGAGGCTAGCCTAGTTTACATAGCTAATTCCAAGTCTACCAAAGCTACATAGTGGACCCCATCTCAAAAGCAAAACAAGAAGCTGGAGAGATGTCTCAGTGGTTAGAGCACTGGTTGTTCTTCCAGAGGACCTGGGTTCAATTCCTAGCACCCACATGGCAGCTCCCAACCATCTGCAACTCCAGTTATATAACTATAACATATTCTTATCTCTTTGAGCACCAGGTATGCAAGTGGTAGGCAGACATGGAGGCAAAATACCCATACAATTAAAAGAAAATAAATTAAAAAACAAAAAACAAAAGACAGCTGGTGAGATGACTCAAAAGTAAATGTGCCTGTCTGACTGACTTGAGTTTGACACCCACGACTCACATTGTGGAAAGAGAGAACTGACTTACATGGGTTGTTCTTTGACCTCCATGTATGCAGGGCACATGCATGCACACACACAGATAAAATGAAAAAGAAAGACATATCTATGTAACATTCAGTGGCAGTTAATAACATGCCTGGTAGGTAGAAGACACCTTTTATCTGATTTCTAGGCACATGGGATTCATAGTTTGGTTAGTACTAGTGGTCCATTAGAGATATGCTATGCCACAGTCTGTAGATACCAAGTTTTAGAAACATTTCATTTCATTATTTTATGAATTGGTCATGTCTACATTGGTAGTTTATATTGAGTAAAAATACTGTGTTTTGAGCCAGATGTGCTGCTGTGTGTCTACACTCCCAGCACTGGGAAGATGGAAATAGGAGAATCAGAAGGTTAAGTCTAGCCTCAGCTACAGGAAATTTGACACCTACCTGATTTATGTAAGATGCTGTCTGAAAAAAACCTTCTTTTGCCAGATGGTGGTAGCACATACATTTAGTCCCAGCATAGTAATCAGATCTCTGAGTTTGAGGCCAGCCTGGTCTACAGAGTGAGTTTCAGGACATCCAGGGCTACACAACAATCCCCCCTCCCCTCCCCCACCTCCAAAAAAAAAAAAGAGGTATGGCCAGACACATTGGCACTTACCTATAATCTCAGTATCTGGGAGGTTTAGGATTTCAAGGTCAAGCCTGGCCTGCATTACATAGCTAAACCATGTATTAAAAACAAATAAACATAAAAGATACCAGTCCTAGTTTTTGTTTTCTAACTGTCAGGAGCATATTGAAGGGGATAGAGAGATGGCTCATCAATTATGAACACTTACTACTTTCCCAGCAGGCCAGAGTTCACTTCTCAGCACCCAAGTCTGGTGGCTCACAACCACCATAACTCCAGTTCCAGAGAATTCAACACCCCCTTCTGGACTCCAGGAAGCATCCACGGGAGCACAATTATGTACATACAAATAAAAATTAAAAGTTTTAAATTGTTTTGAAGATGCCAGGCGGTGGTGGTGCACGCCTTTAATCCCAGCACTTGGGAGGCAGAGGCAGGCGGATTTCTGAGGTCGAGAGTTCGAGCCTAGCCTGGTCTACAGAGTGAGTTCCAGGACAGCCAGGGCTACACAGAGAAACCCTGTCTTGAAAAACCAAACCAAAAAATAAAAAAATAAAAAAATAAATTGTTTTGAAGAGGGAGCTAAGAAGGAAGCTTAGTATGTAAAGGACTTACAATGCAAGCACAAGGACCTGAGTTTGGATTCCCAGCATCTACATAAAAATTTGGGTGTGGTGACATGCACCTGTCATACCAGCGTTGAAGTGGTGGAGACAGGGAGATCTCTGTACCAGCCAGCCCAGCCAAATCAGTGAGCTCCAGGCACAGTGAGACACCCTTACTCAAGAAAACAAGATGGAGAAGTTGGAGGGATGGTACCTGCCATCCGGACTGAGGACCTAAGTTCAATCTCCTGCACACACATGGTTGAAGGCCAGAACTGACTTCTGCAAGTTGTCTTCTGTTCTAAACACAGACATCGTGACACAAACCTGTCCACCACCACTCCAAAAATATAATTTAAAAATAAGGTAGAGAGCAGTTAAGGAAGACACCTCATGTCAATCATTAACTTCCACATGCACAGACCACATGTACCATACACACAGAGCAAGTATACTGAAAAAAATATCAAGTAAATTAAAGGCTTGTTTTGTTTTTTCGAGACAGGGTTTCTCTGTGTAGCCCTGGCTGTCCTGGAACTCACTCTGTAGACCAGGCTAGCCTCAAACTCAGAAATCCGCCTGCCTCTGCCTCCCAAGTGCTGGGATTAAAGGCGTGCGCCACCACTGCCCGGCTAAATTAAAGGCTTTTATGATACTAAAACAAATGATATTCTCTCCTGGTGTAGGAAAGGAGCCTGGGAAATGATGTCAGATCCTATCTGAATAGCTGGTATGAGGATGTGGTGTGTCCGATCCAAAGGGTGGTTCTTCTCTTTCAGGAGAAACTGACCTTTCTGCTACATGCTGTAAGTATTGCTTATGAAAGAGCATTCCCAGTGAGAATCTCCTCAGTAGACTGTGGTCATTTAGAAACATTCTCATTCTCTCTAAACGTTACTGTCTATTCCTGTATATTTCTTTAGACTATGTTTGCTATTTAGACCACATCTTATTGACTCTCATCTGAAAGTTTTATTATTAAGGTAGGGTTGAAATTGTAAATCTCAGCAGGATCTTTCCATTAAAACATGTGCTTTCAAGGCAGCTGTGCATGTCTGCACTCCCAGCATTGGCGAGATAGAAGCAGAATTAGGTGGTTAAGGCCAGCCTCAGCTACACAGAGTGTTTGACACCTACCTGATTTATGTAAGAACCTGTCCCATTCATTACATGTCAGCTGGGTCACATTAAATTTTTTTTTTTTTTTTTAGCCACTTTTAAAGATAGGTCCTCGCCGGGCGGTAGTGGCCCACGCCTTTAATCCCAGCACTTGGGAGGCAGAGGCAGGCAGATTTCTGAGTTCCAGGACAGCCCGGGCTATACAGAGAAACCCTGTCTCGAAAAAACAAACAAACAAACAAAAAAACAAATAAAGATAGGTCCTCACCAGGCAGTGGAGGTACACACTTTAATCTAGCACTTGGGAGGCAGAGGCAGGCAGATCTATGAGTTTTGTCTGGTCTACAGAGTGAGTTGTTCCAGGACAGCCAGGGCTAAACAGGGAAACCCTGTCTCAAAAAGCAAGAGAAAGTAAAGGGTAGGGGTGCGGGGAAGGGAAGGAGATAGGACCTCACTGTGTAGTCTAGAAGTGCTTAACTCTTTTTTTTTTTTTAATTTTATTTATTTTGCTTAACTTTTTTTTTTTTAAGAAAAGACTTAAATTACTCATTTGTGTGTGTGTGTGTGTGTGTGTGTGTTTTCCCATGTCACTGTAGGAGTGTCAGGGTTATAGTGCATGCCCCCAAATCTGACTTCTTACATGGGTTCCGGGATCGCACTCAGGTTGTCTAGCTTCTTACATAGGTTCGGGGATCACACTCAGGTTGTCTGGCTTGAACAGCAAGCACTTGCACTCACTGAATCTTTTCCCTGGCCCTGATCCCAAACTTTCAGTCCTACCTGCCTCAGGTTCTTGAGTGCCAAGACTGTGGACCTGCCCAACCACACCTGCCTGAAATAATTACCATCTGAAATAAAGGGAAACAGGTGTGATTTTCAGAACATTTGAAAATGAAAACCAACCAAACTAGCAAAAATCAAAGTAATTTTAACTATATCAAACTATGTTTAGCCTTTAATCCCAGCATTTGGGAGGCAGAGGCTGATGGATTTCTGAGTTCGAGGCTAGCCTGGTCTACAGAGTGAGTTCGTTCCAGGACAGCCAGGGCTACACAGAGAAACCCTGTCTTGAAAACAAACAAACAAACAAAACAAACAAACAAACAAAAGAAACTCTGTTTAGTCCCCACAACCCTGATGACCTTAGTTCAATCTCCAGATTCCACAAGGTGGCAGAAGAGAACCACATCCCAGAATAGTCCTGACATCCACACTCTTTGAGATGTTTACACACACATACACAAATGTATATACATGTGTCCACACATACACACTAAATTAATAGATAGATTTGGGGGCCAGTGTACTTGATGCCAAACTTGACAACCTGAGTTCAAATCCTGGAATCCTCATGCTGGAAGGAGAGCACTGGTTCCTGCAAGTTGACCTCTGACCTCACACGAGTGCATGCAGCCCCCATTAAAATAAATAAGTAAGTAAAGAAATGCTGAAAAATGTTAAAACACATGCTTATAATCCTAGCATTAGGGAAACTGAGGCTAGAGAATTAGAAGTTCCAGGATAGCCTATGCTGCATAGCAGACTGTCTTAAACCATATTTTAATAAATAAAAATGAAGAACCATTACTGAGCAGTGCTTTAGCTTGGAGCACTTGCAGAGGATACAGTGCTAGTGCCCTTAGTGCATGGGGATGAAGCATTTGGATGGGAGCAGTGGGTCAGTGAGGAACAGAGGATGCAGGTAGTAAACTGTCTCCTTCTCCCTCTCTCACAGGCTCTAAGTTACACTCCTGTCGAATTTAAAGAATCAGATGAAAAAACTAAGAGAGACATTAACAGGTAAAGAACATAATTTCTGAAGAAAGACACCCCCCATCCCGTCCCGTCCTGTCCCTGGGCAAGCTCGACAGCTACATTTTAACCTCCCCTCCCAGTAGAGAATGCATTTGTTCACTCCTGTCCTACAGTGCTGACTGTGGAAAGGACTTGTATATGTGACAGGTTTCTGAGTGTGGCCAGTCTCCAAGGACTTATTCATGAAGGCACCATGACCTCTTTGTGCATGGCCATGTCAGAGGAACAGCATAAGTCTGTGATCATCGACTGTAGTGGCCCTAAGCCTCAGTTCCACAATGCAGGTGAGTCAGAAACCAGGAGGTGGTGTTTGTGGACCTCTTCTTCTAAAGCATGAGATCTAGACATATCCTTCTTATACAATCCTTCTTGTACAGTATTAAGTTTGCTAAGACCGGCCAGGCAGTGGTGGCGCACACTTTTAATCCCAGCACTTGGGAGGCAGAGGCAGGCGGATTTCTGAGTTCGAGGCCAGCCTGGTCTACAGAGTGAGTTGTAGGACAGCCAGGGCTACACAGAGAAACCCTGTCTCGGAAAAAAAAAAAAATCAAATTCTAGTCATTCATAATGGCTCCTACACATGCTAAGACCTTAATGATCCTAGAAGCAAAGGTTCAAGTCATGCTTGGTATATAAGAAAACTCATGTGTGTACACAGGAACAAACACAAAAAACACTCCTAAAAACATTTTAAATTTTAGTTATTTTGAGACAGTTCTCACTGCATAGTCTAGGTTGACTTTGAGCTGATAATCCTCCTGCCTTAGCCCTCCTAGGATTACAAGTATTATATAAAGGCTTATTTTTGATTGGTTGGTTGGTTGATTGCTTTTGAGAAACAGTCTCATATAGGCTATACTGGGCTTGAACTTCTAACTCTCCTACCTCTACTTCCCAAGGGCTGAGATTATAGACAGTCATCACCATGCCTGGCTTAAAGGTATTCTCTTGTTTGGGTTTTTTGGGGGTGTTTTGTTTTGCTTATTGTTGTATTTCAAGACAGAATTTCTTTGTGTAACCCTGGTTGTTCTGGGACTCATTATGTAGGCTAGGGTGGCCTCAAACTCAGTTATTCACCTGCCTCTGCCTCCTAAGTGCTGAGATTAAAGGTGTGCACCTCACCCACTAACTGGCATTAAAGGCAGTTTTTTAAAAAATATTATTTATTTAATGTTTATGAGTACACTGTAGCTGCCACACCAGAAGAGGGCATCGGATCCCATTACAGATGGTTGTGAGCCACCATGTGGTTGCTGGGAATTGAACTCAAGACCTCTGGAAGAGCAGTCAGTGCTCTGAGCCATCTCTCCAGCCCTAAAGGCAATTTTTTAGGAAAGTCTTTTTATTGTGTGTCTGTGTGAGTACAGGTCCATATGTATGTGTCCTAGCACAAATGTGGGGGGTCAGATGACAACATTGGGTGTCAGTCCTCATTTCTACCTTGTTTGAGACAATTTTTGCTTGGCTGCTGTGTATGTCAGTCTAGCTGGGCCTCAAGGTTTTAGGGATTTCACTGTCTACACCTTCTATCTCAGTGTAGGAACGGGGATGTGCACTTCTGCATCCGGCTTTATGTGGGTGCTGGAGGTCTGACCTGAGGACCTCATGCTCGCATAGCAGAAAGCTTTATACACTGAGCCACTTCCCAACCCTAAAGGCATTTAAAATAGTTTCTTTCTTTTTCTTTTCTTTTCTTTTTTTTTTTTCCTTAAGATTTATTTATTTTGCCGGGCGGTGATGGCGCACACCTTTAATCTCAGCACTTGGGAGGCAGAGGCAGGTGGATTTCTGAGTTTGAGGCCAGCCTGGTCTACAGAGTGAGTTCCAGGACAGCCCAGGCTATACAGAGAAACCCTGTCTCAAAAAAAAACAAAAACAAAAAAGAACTAGAAATACATGTTAGTATGGCTCTGAAACATACTGTTTAGTGAAAACAGCCTCTAAGAAAAAGACACAAAGCTTTAACATATACAGAACAATGCATACATAAGGTAAAGTCGGTAGTCAAAGCTAGAAATATGTATAGGAATGACAGTCCTTTCTGATGGGGAGAGGGGAATGTGATTATGGCACTTGACTGTTGTAGCCCTGACTGTCTTGGACTTGCTTTGTAGACCAGGCAGGCCTTGAACTCACAAAACCCACCTGCTGCTGCAGCCTGAGTGCTGAACGTTTCAAATAATCATTTACAAATTTTATTATAAAGAAATTCATGTGCTAGGACTGGATAGATGGTTAATAGCATAAACTGCTCTTTCAGAAAACCAGAGTTGTGTTTGGCATATCCAACACACATCTCCCAGGGCTTCTGTACTCAAGCACACATATGGGCATATGTATGTAAGGAAAAATAACAAAAGTAAAATCTTTAAAAGCTGACATCCCTGTATGTGCTCTGTGGTATTTAATTGTGTGTGTTTACTGCTGTTTAGGAAGCAACCGTTTTTGTGAGGACTGGATGCAAGCTTTCTTACATGGTGCTGAAGGGGGTAACCCTTTTCTTTTCAGACAAGTCCTGGAAAACTTCAAACTAAAGGTAATGCACTGGCTGTGGGCTAAAGGTCAGCTACAATGTTTTCCTTCTGCATCTAATTACTGCAGGTGGTAGTAGCATCAGTGATGGGCTTTTGCAGTTACAATGTTCTTTAAATTGGGCATTCTCAGAGCTCAGAACACAGGTGTCTGCTGTGCAGCAGCACTGCATGCCTGGGATTTCATGTTCACCACTTTGTGGTGAATTGCTTGCTTAGATTTAGGGAACATCAAGCTGATACTTTCTGGTGCATCTCAGTTGAAAAACACAGAAATAAATGATTTCAGATTCTGGCAGGTGCGGGTTGTCACCTTAGGAGCTATTTTTTTTTTAATTATTTATTTATTTATTATATGTAAGTACACTGTAGTTGTCTTCAGACACCCCACAAGAGGGCATCAGATATCATTACTGATGGTTGTGAGCCACCATGTGGTTGCTGGGATTTGAACTCATGACCTCTGGAAGAGCAGTCAGTGCTCTTAACCACTGAGCCATCTCACCAGCCCAGGAGCTATTTTTTTAAAAGTCTTTTTAAATGTGAGATTCTCTTATACTAAAGGAAAAGCATATTAGCAATAGGAATAGTGGGTATTTTTTTAAAAGCTCAACATTAGCAAGGTGTGGTGGTGCATACCTTTGATTCCAGCACTCAGGAGGCAGAGAGTAGCTGATCTCTGTGAGTTCAAGGCCAGCCTTGTCAATGCAGTGAGTTTCAGGCCAGTCAGAGCTACATAGTGAGACCATGTATCAAGAAACAAAACAAAAGTGGACATTATCAGCATACACTGAGTGCTCAGCTAGAGAGGGGGTATTTTTCAAGCATTTTTTGTTTGTTTTTTCGAGACAGGGTTTCTCTGTGTAGCCCTGGCTGTCCTGGAACTCACTCTGTAGACCAGGCTGGCTTCGAACTCAGAAAGCCACCTGCCTCTGCCTCCCAAGTGCTGGGATTAAAGGTGTGCACCACCACTGCCCAGCTTTTTTCAAGCATTTTCATCATCTCACTGAACATATTTAACAGGGTAATCTTTTTCTAGGCTATACAAGACACAAACAATTTGAAGAGATTTATCCGACAGGCAGAGATGAATCATTACGCTTTGTTTAAATGTTACATGTTCCTAAAGAACTGTGGCAGTGGAGATATCCTTTTGAAGATTGTTAAAGTGGAACATGAAGAAATGCCCGAGGCCAAAAGTGTGGTGGCGGTCCTTGAAGAATTCATGAGAGAAGCGCTTGTCTGAAGTTCCCGTCCCTGTTGAGGGTCCGTTTCATTGAGTGTGTTGAGGCTGCATGTGAGGGGCTGTAGTTACCTGTTTTGTTTCTAGGATTGCACTGTTCCTAAGATGACTGGAAACACCCCAGCTTCTTCCTTTTGTGCTTTTTTTGTTTAACTTAATTAAATACAACAATCAGAGGAATGTCTTTACCAGGTCCTAGGCAGATGCTGTGTGTTACAACTGTGGAATTTTGCTGCCTTGCTAGTCTCATAAATCCTAAGCATCAAACACTTGTTGTCTAAAAAGTTCTGGAGATGATTTTTTGGCTTCCTGGGAGTTTACTGTAGTGATTAACAGGATTTCCTCCTCCAAAAGAAACATAGTATGTCTTTCTCAGTACATTGTAGAAGTTTTTGAAGTACATGATCTTAGCAAGATGTGATGACACATGCCTATCATCCCAGCTACTCAGGAGGCTGAGGCAGGAGATTCTGAGGTTCCAGGCCAGCCTGAGCTACAGAGTAAGTTTATGTAAGCTCGGACTACATGGTGATCATGATCCTGGTCTTACTGCAGCATCACATCGCTTCAGAGACAGCCTGTTCATCCTGCGAGTGCCTGATACATATCGACGGTCGCAGGAATGATGAAGCCACCTTTTTAAGGGAATATACAAATAAATTATGAGTGTATAAGAATTTTAAAATGAGTTTTATATATAGAAGTTTGTGGGCTGGCAAGATGGCTCAGAAGGTAAAGAAGCCTGCTCCCAAGTCTGGCAACCTATGTTCAGTCCCCAGGACTCACATGGTAGGAGAGAACCAATTCCACAAATTGCCTCTGGCCCATACACACCTGCATACACAATAAATAAATATATGAAGAAATGGTGGGCTGGAGAGGCAGCTCAGCAGGTAAGAGCATTGTTGCTCGCTCTTGGAGAGGAGCCGGCACCTACCTGGTGCTTACAACCATCTGTAACTTCAGGGGATTTGACCCCCTGTTCTGACTTCCTCAGGCATCAGGCACATATGTGTGTACAGACATACATGCAGGCAAGACAGACATATAAAATAATCTAAAACCAGTAAGAAAGAAAGAAGCCGGGCAGTGGTGACACACACCTTTAAACCCAGCACTTGGGAGGCAGAGGCAGGCGAATTTCTGAGTTCGAGGCCAGCCTGGTCTGCACAGTGAGTTCCAGGACAGCCAGGACTACACAGAGAAACCCTGTCTTGGAAAGACCTAAAAAAAAAAGAGAGAGAAAGAAAGAAAGAAAAAAAGAAAAAGAAAAGAGAGAGAGAGAAGAAAGGGATATACTAGCTTCAAGATAAGAACAATCTCTCTGATTAAAAAGTTCTTGTGGAAATGGACACATTATTTACAGGTATTTATTCACCAGGAGCCTGTATTTTCTTATTTTTAGATGAAGATGCTGGACTTCTTAAACGGTATTAAGAAAAAAGAGGGGGAAAACAGTAAATACAGGAAATATCCTTTACAAGCAAATATAAGAATGCACTTGAAAGCCAGGCGGTGGCGCATGCCTTTAATCCCAGCACTTAGGAGGCAGAGACAGGTGGATTTCTGAGTTCGAGGCCAGCCTGGTCTACAGAGTGAGTTCCAGTGACAGCCAGGACTATACAGAGAAACCCTGTCTTGAAAAAAAAAAAAAAAAAAAAAAGACAGGCAGTTAGAACTCTGTGAGTTCAGGGCCAGTCTGATTTACTCAATTACATAGCAAGTTTCAGGCCAGTCAGAGCTACATAGTGAGACCCTGTCTCAATAAATAAGAAAATAAACGATATTTTAAAATTTTAAAAATGTAAACAAATTCTTCCCATTACAATTTTACAATTGCTCATTGAGTTTAGATTTTTGTGTCTGTCACAAGCCCCAAATCGTTTTGCCCTGAATCAATTTCAAGTGCCCTTGAGTAGTCATTTCTCATGGATGCCAGCTGTAACCACACACATAGCTGTTCTGCATAGCTCTATAATAAATCCATTTGATAATGATTTTGGTTTAGAAAGTCAGAAGTCTTATGTTCTCACTGCCTTCAGGATGCTCAGAGGATCATGAGTCTGTAAAGCAGGCACTCTTAACTGCTTGTAAACCCTGCGAAGAGCTGAGTTCTAACTTTCAAAGTGCGTGATCATGGCTTTCTGCCTTCATCTCTCCACAAGTCAGTCTAGGGACATGAATCACCACACCCTTTCTTTCCCTTTAATGAGAAATACAATTCAGGATCTTCATAAATGCTTTCATATGGCTTTAAAGTTTAATAACTTGGATTATAGGCAGTATAGAAAAGAATGTAAGTAGCATTTTTATAGCTATCTGGTGGCTGGATAGTCAGCGGCTCTACGGCACTTTTCCTGAGTCTTTTTCTAATGCACTTGGTGCCTGCTTGGAAATCATTAAACATGAGCAACATTAGGACATTGAGATTTTGAGTCTATAAAGTAGTAATCTTTATTTTCAAATTCACAATCAGGAGTGTAGCAAATGGAATTCAGAGAATAAGTGTAGGGGCTAGGGAAATAGGTCAGTGTAAAATATGCAAACATGAGGATCTCAGTTTGATCCTCAGAACCTAGGTGCGCTAGCATGTGCTTGTAATCCCAGCACTGGGGAGGAAGACACAGTTCTTATTGCCCAGCCCAGCTGACTTGGTAAACTTCAGGCCAGCAGAGACCTTATCTGAAAACAAATGGAAAAAAAAAAAAAGAAGAAGAAGATAGGCCAAAGAGCTCAATGGATAAAGGTCCTGGCTGGCAAGTCTGACGCCTGAGTTCTACCTCCATAGTTCATGTGAAGGTGGACAGAAAGCCTACTCCTACAAGCTGCTCTCTGTATATGCATCCCTTAGAGCTAACTATTCATTAACAAACAAAGACAAAGGTAGATGGTTCCTGAGGATTGACCTCTGGCCTCCAAATGTTTGTGCACACAATAATATACATAATAATAAAAATAAAAGCAAATGCAGCCAGGCAGTGGTGGTGCCCACCTTTAATCCCAGTACTCAGGAGGCAGAGGCAGATGGACCTCTGAGTTCGTGGCCAGCCTGGTGTACAGAGTAAGTTACAGAACAGAGCAGCCAGAGTTAGACAGAGAAACCCTGTCTTGAAAAACAAAATGCTGGGCGTTGGTGTCGCATGCCTTTAATCCCAGCACTTGGGAGGCAGAGGCAGGCAGATTTCTGAGTTTGAGAGTTGAGGCTAGCCTGGTCTACAGAGTGAGTTCCAGGACAGCCAGGGCTACACAGAGAAACCCTGTCTCGAAAAAAAAAAAAAAGATGTTATGGAATTGACTATCTTGTTGATATGAAACACAGCTCATATCCATAAACCTATGCCATATTCAAATTTTAATAAGTGAAATTATTAAATTTTGAAGGCTTGAGGGTAGGGAAGCACCCTCTCAGGCAAAGGGGAGAGAGAATGGGGTGAAGAATTCTAGGAGGGAGTACTGGGAGAGGGGCAACATTTAGAATGTAATAAAAATTAATTTAAGGGCTGGAGAGATGGCTCAGCGGTTAAGAGCACTGACTGCTCTTTCAGAGGTCCTGAGTTCAAATCCCAGCAACCACATGGTGGCTTACAACCATCCGTAATGAGATTGGATGCCCTATTCTGGTGTGTCCAAAGACACCGACAGTGTACTCATAAAATAAATAAATAAATAAATAGTTTGAAAAAAAAAATTAATTTAAAAAAAATTAAAGGTTTAAGTGTTCAGATGTGAAATAAACTTGTGCTTGTATGCAATACACAGGAAATATATGTTTGCCTTATATCAAAAATTATACTTGTAACAATAATAAAACAGCTTCTAGTCAAGGCAGATATTTTTACCTAATTGAGCTTAATTCTTAACCTGCAATTATTTCCAGTAATTTTACATGGTAATTATACTTCACACACACACACACACACACACACACACACACACACACACACACACACAAAGATGTGTGAAAAACTCACATCACCTGTTGGAATGCCCACGGAAGAGGTGAACAAGTTTTCTCACGACGGTTCATTTGGTATCTAAAACCAGTTTCACCTGCAGTACACAGTAGCTCAGATCCTTTCCCGTCTCACTCATTGTTCAGAGCGATAGGACACCAGGTGGTGCGCTCACCTTTAATCCCCGCAGAGGCAGGCAGTTCTCTGAGTTCAAGGCCAGCCTAGTCTACAGAGTGAGTTCCAGGACAGCCAGAGTTACACAGAGAAACCCTGTCTCAAACAAAAGAGACAGGAGTAGATCCTGGAATTTTGGGTGACAGGGAATAGTGTCAGGGCTGACAAGAAAAGTGAACAAACATTTCAAAGTTACCAACTGTTCCTGTGTCCTTGGGCTGATGCAGTGAGATAGGTTCTTAAATGTGTCTGTATATTGTGCATGTTCATGTGTGTGTTTGCATGTATATGTGGGGACCAGAGGACCTTGTATGTGTGGCCCGGGGCTTGTCAAGTAGACTACTAGGCTGGCCAGCTGATGAGTCCCAGGGATTTCTCTCCCCTGTACTGGAATGGCAAGTGTGTACCACACTTGTGTATGAGGAACGTAACTCAAGTCTCCATGATTGCACCGCCACTTTATTGAGCTCTTTCCCTAGCCAGAAATTGGCTCTTTGTTGACAGGGTCTCTCCATTATGTAGCTCTAGCATCGGTAGGCCAGGCTGGCCTTGAACTCAAGAGATCTGCCTTTGTTTCCTAAGTGTTGAGATTAAAATCGTGCACCGGCTTCTTCTATTTATTTATTTATTTATTTATTTATTTATTTAGGTTTTTCGAGACAGGGTTTCTCTGTGTAGCCCCGGGTGTCCTGGAACTCACTCTGTAGACCAGGCTGGCCTCGAACTCAGAAATCCGCCTGCCTCTGCCTCCCAAGTGCTGGGATTAAAGGCATGTGCAAGAACAGCTTCTTCTAACACTCTGTCATTGTATGGTTTAATGCCCTTGAAGTCTCCTGCAATATACAGGGACCAAGAATATAAACACTGGGACCAGATGGTCTAGGTATGGGTCCAGCATATTAGTTACTATCGGCATGTGACTAAACTCTTCCTCTCTTGTACAGATATGGGGTTGTTCATAAGCATTTTACATAAAACAGCTTTGAAAATGGCCGAGTGTGGTGGCACACTGCTTTAGTCCACGCACTCAGGAGTCACAAGCAGGTGGTTGTCTGTTTAAAATCAGCCAAGCAAGGCAGGGTTACATAGTGAGACCCTGTCTCAAAAACCCAAACATTAGCTAGGAAAATACCTACCTCATTATCTAGCATAAGTAGGAACTTAGTAAATTGCTTTCTTTTTTCCCTCCAAAGCAGGGTTTCTCTGACTAGCCCTGGCTGTCCTCAGATTCAGTGATCTGCCTGTTCTCTGCCTCTGATGCTGGAATTGAAAGTGTGTGCTACCATGCCCAGCTTGTTTTCATTTCTTAAATTATCATTGGTAAACATCTTAGCAAGTTATTTGATGAATGAGAATCTGACAGAAGGGAAGAAACAGAAAAGTGAAGGGAAATGGGAGGAGGCCAAAGGCAAATGTAATGAAGCAGCTTTTGGTTCTCCAAGGAGCTGCCTTGATGCCACAGGTACCTGGAGCCTGGGAGACCCCAGTGGAAAGCCTGTGCAGGGGACTCAGCTCTGCGAGTGCAAGTAGAAGCGGGTGTTCAGGCAGCCGGAACCAACTGGGCACTCTTGATCTTAGCTCCCGGATGGCTCCTGCAGTGTTTGGAAACATTTTCCAATAATACACAGGAAATTGATGTGAAGGGAAATAACCCCTACAATGCACTTAACAGGGCAATTTAATCCTCCAGCATTCAATCGTGGTTAGCTGGAAAGCTACGCAGGCTGCTGCTGACCTGGAAAAGGCGAGCACCCAGTTGGCTTCTCCAAACCTCATCCATGCAAAGCCAGCTTGGCTGTTTAACTTTCAGAGTCCCAGGCTTCGCCTCGAGCATATATAGTTGCTTTCAATTCATCCTTCTCGATGTACACTTGACTATGGCAGACAATACCAACTTAGATGAGGACAAGTGAGTCATAGGCAGAGTCATAGTGACCTGTCCCCTGAACCTTCACCCAGCCGATACCTGGTTCTGAAAGATATCTGTATTCCCCTTGAACACCCACACTCCAGTGTCATCCCCTTCCCCACATCCTGCCTTTCTGTGTTTATAACCCCTGTGTGAATGAATTACGATTTGAGAAAAAATAAATAAATTATTAAAAAAAAAAAAAGATTACAATGTTGATGGAACCTGAAAGCACTAGGCTTATTGAGGGAGAGAAAGAGCATCTCAAAGATGTCTCTAATAATAACAATCATATTAATCACATATGTATGACTCATCTATACATATATATGTACACATATTAATTATATATAAAATAATATATAACATATTATGTATATTAAAAATATACATACACACATATATATACATACACACACATATTCCTGAGTAGATGTGTTGTTGACATAGGCAAGGCCATGTCAAAGACCTCAGTGTGTCATCCCCATGGGAGTGGCAGCGCCTTTCCTGGGTGAGACTCAGAGGGATGGGAAAGGTTTCCTCTGGACTGCCTGTGAACATAATGTGTGCAGAAAAAGTCTACCATTATTTTGCCCCTCCACATGTTTATGACTGAAGACTGTGTCCCTACAGAGACTGTACCTCTCTGAGCTTAGCTTCAGTTGCCTCCTCGTTCAGCTGGATGCAATACCCTGACTTCCCTGTCAACAGTATATATAAACACGTTGAGCTCCTGGGGGTGGGGGGCGCTGTGGCTTCTCCATCCACGACCATCCAGTCCCAGCTGTCCTAGAGTCCATGTATTTGTCATTTCTTTATTCTCTGGCTGTCAATCCCTAGAGCGGCTCAGAGGGAGGCACTTAGAGCCGGATGAGTGGAGGGGGAGATAGGCCCGAGAGGACAGGGCCTGAGTTCCCCTGTCTGCTGGTACCCACCTCTAAAACTCCCCAGGAAGCACCCTATGTGGGTGTGTTTTCATGGGAAGAACCTTCAGTTTTCACCAACCACTCTGAGAAGGTTAAGGAAGACAGTACCAATCACCAGTGCCCAAACCCATCAACCCACCACTGCCTGTTCTCGCCCTCCCCACCCACCAGGAACCAGACCCAGACCAAGCAGGTTGCATGGCAGCCCTTGAGGTCCTGAATAACCAATAGCTTAAAAAAAAATCTTTAATGGAATCTGTGCTCAAATAATATGTTACAACAAAAATATACAGAATGTACACAATACAAAAATATTTAGAAACCAACGTTGCGGCTAGTGTTTTTTTTCACTTAGTCCTGGGAGGGGCAGCTCACTGATGGGCACTGTTTTTAAGGCAGAGGAGAGTCAACGATTTGCAGCCAGCTCTCGAAAGCACACAGCACTGGGTAATCCTCATTATCTGCAAACTGAATTGGACACTAGAGGAAGATCTGGGTTTGGTGAGTGATGCCTCCACTAATGCTCTAGGCAAGAATGGTTCTTGCGGAATGGAGACTCACAAGAGCCCCGTTAGGGAGCTTCTCCTAATTAAAAAAAAGATCAAGTGATGAATGGTGTCATTAAAGAGAAATTCCTCTTTTTTGAAGGCCTGTTTTCCCTTCTCTGGTTTCCATGATTCCTCTCTCCTTTAAAAGCAAGCTAGTCTACACAGCTGCTGTTTGGGGGGATTCCCCAGCCTTTGAGGCCAACCTACAGCCACTAGCATGAGGAGTGAATCCCAGCCTTGGCGGGTGGCCACATTGGAGAGGCTGAGGACCTCAGGAGAATGGAGACCAGCTGGGAAGGGTTGTTGAGATGGAGAGGACCAGGAGCCATTCTCATTCTCCTGCCTTGCTCCTGCGTGCTCTGATCCTCCCGTCTCAGACCCATGGTTCCTCATCCTGGGCTCGCAGGGCCTGATAATCCCAAAGGCAACATAAAGGTCATCTGCCTCACAGCCTCCACTTAGGGTTCCCAGAAGCTCCTAGTGCCAGACTGAGTAGACAGTCTCAGAGGAGCAGAGGCCCTGGGCTCTAAGTCTACAGTTACCTTGCCTAACACCAGACTTGGCACCCCAGGCTGCTGGGACACTCCCTCAATCTCAGTCTCCCTGGAGGATTACTTCCAAGTCCCCTCTAGATGGAGCCATCTAAGCCTACAGCTCCTCTCACTCTGGACCCTCACCAAGCTCCCCCAGCTATTCCCTAAGGCTAAGTTTTTCACCAAAATATATTTTATGACAGCTTCTAGTCCCACCAATTCTCATGGGGAGATGGCCACAGTATCACTGTCCTGGGCTTTCATCCCAAAGACTCTCCTCCACAGCAGGCAGTACAGACATGAAAGTTCCGGAACCAGAACACAGCTGAGAGTTTCCTCCCAAAGGTCCTGGTAGGGCTTTGGTCTTCCCTCTAGCTTGGACAATTTTTCCGCTGGTCAGTGGTGCTCAGCAGGTATCTGGGAGGGCCAGATGAGAAAGAGGGGTGCATGATGCTAAAAGCAAGGTCACTGAGTGAGCGCTCGAGAGCACACAGCTGCTACCCATTTCAGAAATCCCCTATAGACATCCCCACGTGTACAACACTGTCTCCCAATTCCTTCCTCTGCAGCTTCTGACTTGTCTGCCATTGCACACACACAACCCAGAACCCTGTCTCCACACCCAAAGAGGGAGGCACAAAGTAGGATCAGAGCAGTAGAAAGGAAAGTCCAGATAGGTCATGGAAGCAGAGCAATGGTGTGACTCATGACTACAGGCAGGAAAAGGAAAACTGGTCCTGGGACTTTCCTGAGGGAACCTGGGATGAAGGCCATTGCCCCAGGCACAGGGCCCTCCCCTAGGGCAAGAATAAGGCCTGGAGCTTATAGCATCTCCCTGCCCAGCCCTAGGGGCAATGCCATAGCACCCATTGACAGGACCCAAGCCTGGGGCGATCTGGGCTCCCCCACATCAAAGTCATCATATCCATTGTTAGAGCACCAGACCTTGAGCGGCAGAGAACATGGCCTAGCCTGCAGTCACCTCTGGGCTGGGGAAAACCTGGCTGTGGCTACTCTCAGACTTCTTTGTGTCTCAGTGTCTCTCCAGATGGACAACTAGAGAAAAGGGCTATTTGCTCACTCGGTGGCAGTGAGAGGGGAGCACAAGGGACAGGCCCAAGCCACAGGGACAGCCACTCTCACCCTGTCTCAGACCTTACCCCAAGCCCATATCATCAGACCAGCCACATCTATCTGCCCAGCATCCTTCCAAACCAACACACGCTCCCCAGCTCCAAGAGTCTCCGGTTCTCCCTGCTCTCACTGAATTGGAGATGAGAAGCAGATGCAGGATGCTTCCTCTGGATGCTTCTGTTTCCCCTCCCTGCCTTGGTCCTCTGGTCCCTTAGGGGGGTGGTGGCAGCTTCAAGTCCAGCAGTGTGTAGGCAAAGATGTTCCAGAAGACAGCAAACAGCACGAAGATGGTGTACATGGTCACAAAGATCCACCACAGCGACTGGTCCTGCAGCCTCTGTTCATAGTTTCTGAGAACCACCACGCCCAGGGTGATGCCCACGGCCACACCACCCAAGTGTGCCACAAAGCTTGGGTGAGGGCACGGGGGATAAGCCGATGGATGGAAACGGAGCCACACAGCCCTCCCGAACTCCATACTCACTGCAAAGGGAGGAGACAGAGAGACATCATAGGATGGTCCCAGGCAGGGGTGGGGAGAGATCAGGCACACCAGCTACCCAGTATCCATTAACTCATTCACTGTCATGAGGCCAAATGCAGTAATCAAGGAGACAAGACTATCCCAAGATCTACAGGGCTTGGAGATAAATCATCAATCAATTACATTCACAAGGCCATTTCATTAAGAGATTCGGGCATGAGGCAAAAAGAAATGATAGAAAAATCCAAGCTAGGTGCAAGGCAGGGCATTCCAAGAGGGTCTCTTGAGGAAATGTCAGACAGGGCCTCTCAAGAGAAGATGTTTGGACTGTCATCTAAATGTTGAGAAGGGCCCTGCTAGCAGACTCTAAAAAAGGCACAGCTCTGTCCGAAGGCCCTGGCATCTCTGTGGTCACGCTACATCCTGGGAATATTTCTTCATCTGCCCACTGGTATAATGCATCAGTGTGCCTGGATGCACAAGTAGAACATGGCCAACAACTTCTGTGTGCATGGAACACTGCATTCTGTAGAGTGTTTCCACCTGTTAGTTAGAAACCTCCAGAAAACCCTGAGAGCCAGTGCCTTCGTGCTCAGGAGAAAGGGGTGGACAGGGAATGAAGATGAAGGAGGAATTAAACGAAGTCTGAACTCCATTTTCACTATGGTCCAGTCCTTCCCTTTGTGAACTTTCTAAGTCAGCCAATCAAATAGGGATGCTGTCTCATTGAAAGGAAAAGGCTGGGCAATAGTGCCATTCCATGTCCCAGTACTCAAGGCTTAGGAAAAGGACCTCCTTTCCTTTCCTTTCCTTTCCTTTCCTTTCCTTTCCTTTCCTTTCCTTTCCTTTCCTTTCCTTTCCTTTCCTTTCCTTTCCCCTTTCCTTTCCCCTTTCCTTTCCCCTTTCCTTTCCTTTCCTTTCCTTTCCTTTCCTTTCCTTTCCTTTCCTTTCCTTTCCTTTCCTTTCCTTTCCTTTCCTTTCTTTTCTTTTCAGTACAGGGCCTTACTATTGAGTCCCGGATATACTAAAAGTCAATGTAGTCAAGGCTGTCCTTGAACTCACAGAGATCTGTCTCTCAGGTGCTGGGATTAAAGGCATACCACCATAAAGCCTGGCTGAGAGTATGTTTAAGTTACAGGTCACTGTGAGCTGCCCAGTGTGGGTTCTGAGACCTGAGCTTAGGTCCTCTGGGAGAACAGCCAACACTCTTAACCACTGAGCCTGAGAGAGAAGGTATTCTTAGCCTTATTTTACAGACCAGAAAACCAAGCAAATCTGGCAGATTAAAAGACAGCCCTTTGAGGACAATGTTGTACCACTTCTTGTAACAGAGTGCCTCTCCCACCTTTAACCATTTCACCCAGGAATCTTCCCTTTGGGAACAGATTGCTAGATGTCTTCAGAAAGAGTTGCAATTTCAAGGACAGCCAGCAGAGGGTAGAAAAGGAGCAGCAGGGCCTTTCTCAGCCATGCCAACCTGGTGGCGTTTTCCTGCTGAACTTATTTCCTGGAGCCAATTAAGAAAAAGATGATGGATCCCACCTCTCCATCACTGTTTTAGCTTTTGTGAGTTAAAAAAAAAAAGGCTCTTTTATGTATTGGGTTCTTTGCATGCATGTATATCTGTACACCAGAGGATAACATCAGACAGGTGTGGGCTGCCATGTGGGTGCTGGGAATTGAACTCAGGACGTTTTAGAAGAGCAGTGAGTGCTCTTAATCACTGAGCCACCTCTCCAGCCCCAGAGTTATGATGTTTATAGTGTTTTTTACGGAAGAAGGAGGAGGAGAAGTGGGAGGAGGAGGAAAAAGGAGGAAGAAGAGGAAGAGGAGGAGAAGGAAGAGGAGAAATAAGAGGAGGAGGAGGAAGAGAAGGAGGAAGAGAAGGAGGAGGAGGAGGAAAAAGGAGGAAGAAGAGGAAGAGGAGGAGAAGGAAGAGGAGAAATAAGAGGAGGAGGAGGAGGAGGAGGAGGAGGAGGAGGAGGAGGAGGAGGAGGAAGCAGTTAGCAGAAGCAGAAGCAGAAGCTGGACTTGACTTTCCAAAGGCCTAAAGTAAGAGTGTTGAGGAGAGGAGTGACATATTTGAACACTCTGGGTGTATTGCCTTTGAGTTGAGTGACTTTGGAACTCTCCAAATCTCAAGTTTACACTTAAAAATTAAACCTAATAATATGCTCTCCATACAATGTTTTAGAAACTAAAGACTATGTCTCTGCTCTCTGTTACTAACCCACGCTTCCTTTTAGACTCACCTCTTTACATTTCAGGATGAGCCCTGAGGCTTTAGGCCCATTCCCCTTTCACTGTGTGTGTGTGTGTGTGTGTGTGTGTGTGTGTGTGTGTGTGTGTGT